TATTGATCCAGTGTTACTATAGCTAGGTGGAAAACTAAACTAAACGAACTTTATTTATACTGGATAGCTCTATCACTGTTCTCCCTGGAGGTCCAGTAAGGATCATCTCTTATTGATCCAGGAGGAAACCGGGGTACCATGTGACAAAACATGTAGAGTGTTTGGCAGAGTCAAACTGAACGCATTCTTCTCACATGTGACTGAGACAAAATTAGAGTAAGACAACTGCACGAGATAGAATATCGACTAACCAACATGCTATTATTTTTTCGCTAGCGGAACGCGCCACCGCCATTACCACCAAGATTGTACGAGGATTCAAAGGGAAAGTTACCATCAAAAACTCCGCCAGCTAAGCCAGGAGAAAGAGATATCTAAGATGAGTCAACCACAGACCTTTTTTGGAGTCGCGGAGAATGGCGAGCCAACCACAGACTTTTCTCGGCGTGTCACGTTACGGGACGTCGAGGAATGAATGATCCTATTTACTGTATTTATCGAAAGAATGCGAAAGAATTGAAAATGGCAGTCTCCAGAAGTATTTTGATTTTGTATTGAAATGGAATTGTCGTAAAGGAAAATTTGTAATTTAATTTAAGTTTAATATTAATGCGTATTTGTAATAAAAATATAATCAAATTTTCTTTAATAATTGCCATTTAATTGGCTTTAATGTTATAACAATTGCCAATAATAATGTAACACTTGTAATTTAATATTTAAAGATATGTATTTTAATTTAAATCATTTGGAATTAAAATTTCCTTGAAAAACTTGTTTATAACTTATGTGATTTCTGTGCACTGACAAGGGGGTCTCTCAAACGGGGGAAGGGATGGATAGATAGAAAACTTTATTTATATTGCGACCAAAGCTGATTTCCACGAGGGGCATGTGGAAAAAACTGTTACAATTTAAAAGTTCTATTTGAGAGCTATTTACAAAAATACTTATGTTTTAAAAGATGGAATGTTTAAATTATTACATAATAATAACGCTGTTAGACTATTTACAGGTGATCGATTTACTTTGTACTCTTTTATGTGAGCAGCGATTTTATTTTGAAAGGAAGAAAGAGATCCGCTCTCCCCAATTTCTTTGGGAATAGAATTTGCAAAGGTGTGCTCCGTCATATATAAGTGCCTTTTTTTTAAATATGGAAAGTTCTATTAGAAAGAAAGAGACACTTGTTAGTGTTCAAGAAACACTTATTAGTGTTTTTTGAAGAAAGGACAGGTTTATTCCGACAGACAACAAAGACATTCCAGTATAATATCGAAGCCGATTTTACTATGGAGCCACAAAAAATCAAATGTTAGTGCTCATAGCTGATCAAGTAGTACAGTAGTACTTAGTTATGATTACTGTATAAAACAATCCAATCGAACATTAGCGTCTCAAGCCTAGTTTCCACTCAGGAAAATTATCCGTAGATTGGAACGGACAAGAAAATTTTTCTTTGTCTTGTGAGCTCTGGGGCATAGAATAAAGATCCATATAGAAGGGCCACTTACGTCGGAAGCTTTGAAGTTTCTGTCCTCGCGCATGTCGCATTACGCATGTTGGCCGCCATTTTCCTAGCCAGTCAATGACATTTTCTGGCCAATAAACGCGCTGTATTGGCTGGCTGCTCCGCCTTCTGGCCAGTAAACTGCATATTTTTGCATAAAAAAATGAGGACATGTTGCACCGCTGAGTGGCCCTTCTATATGGATCTTTATTCTATGTCTGGGGTGGAACTCGATGACTTTAACACAAAAATCCAATCCACGGATAGTTTTCCTGAGTGGAAACCATAGGCGTACCGGGCGGGGGGGCGGGGGGGGCGGCAGCCCCCCCAGTTTTTTGGGCAGTCGGGCAATATTCGATGAACAGTCGGGCAATTTTG